ATTGGCACAGGATAGAGCAGGGTTTAGGGCTGTTGTACATAGGGTCGCTATGAGTCGCAAACGACTCGATGGCACATAACAACAACAACAATATATATAAAGGATGGGCAGTTTCCTCCCATGTGATTAACTCCCTCTGAAAATCCTCTGGAGGATCTGCTATGGGCCAGTTCTGACTCAGTGGTACACAACACACACACACGGAAGAAGATAGCATCAGGATTAGAAGGTGATTCAGCAACAACCTGCATTATGATGTTGACACAACCTTGCTTGCTGAAAGCGGACATGAAGCACTTGCAGCCAGCCTTCAATGTGGGTTACATCTCGACATCAAGAAAACAAAAATTCTCACCATTAAATCAAAAGGCAACATCATTTCATAGGTAGAGAAAAGAGAGACGTTGTCAACAGTTTCATTTTACTTGAATCCACAATCAGCACCCATGGTAGCAACAGTCAGTAAATCAAAAGGCATGCTGTACTGGAGAAATCTGCTTTCAAAGACCTCTCCAAAGTTCTAAAGAATAAGGATGTTGGTTTAAAGCTGAAGGTGTGCCTTATCCAAGCCATGATCTTTTCAGTTACTTCCTATGCATCTGAAAGTTGGACAGTGAAGAAGGTGACAGAAGAAGAATTAATGCCTTTGAACTGTGACATGAGAGAAGAATGCTGAAAGAGCAGATACACCTTCTTGGAGGCAAAGATGATGAAGCTTTATCTCACTTTGGGCATGTTCTTAGGAGAGGCTAGTCCTTGGAGAGGGACATCATGCTTGGAAAGGTGGAAGGTCATCAAAGGAGAGGAAGACCCTCAACCAGATGGACTGACACAGTGCTGCAGTGGGGTGAAATGTGTCAGAGACGGTGTGATGCCACGGGATAGGGCAGGGTTCACAGCTGTTGGTTGTTGCTATAAGTTGTACTTGACACCAGTTAAGAACAAAGAACAACAGCATATGTATATGTACATGAATATATATATATATGTGTACATGAATATATATATATATGTGTGTGTGTATATATGTATATTTGTTGTTGTTGTTAATTGCCGTTGAGTCATAGGCGACTCATAGTGACCCTGTTAACGAAAGTCCTCAACACTTGTGTAACTTTTATCCTTTCTCCAGGTTCACAGGGTTTCCAGAGGCAAGCTATTATGGAAGTGGATGCCACTTCTGCTTCCAAGCTTGTTTTAATTGGGGAGCTCCACCAAATATATATGTTCTAACAGACTTAAGATAAATATATATGTTATTGTTAAGTGTCAATGTATACCTCTGATGGCTTAGTGGTAAGAAACTGTGCTGCAACCCCCAAGGCACACAGTTCAAATCCATCAGTTGTTCCATGGGAGAAATATGGGAAATCTTCTCCGTTGCATTAACTGCCTCTGAAAACCCATTGGAAGCTCAGCTATGGGTCAGTTCCAACTTGATAATACACAACAACAACAACAACAACAACAACATATATATTAGAATGCCATGCATTTAAAGTATATTTAAAAATATATTTTATATATTAGAATGGTTTAGATGCACTAAAAAGAAATTAATTGAAGAGGAGATGAGAACTGGAATAATCAAACTTATGGCAGTGTGCTTGTATTTTTGCTGAGTTATATCACACGTTGGATATGATAAGAGCAGGTGGAAAGGAAAATGTAAGTATTATTCAGGGAAACAACTTAAATCTTTGAGAGAGTGCATGTGTTTGAAATGTGTTGGCAAGAAACTGTGTGTGTGCTTGTGTGCTTAAAAAAATTGTTATTAACTACCATTTACCCCTAGCAAATGTACAGACCCATGTCTTACAAACACAGAATGTACCCCTGAAGGTCTCTTTCTTATGTTTTTGTCTCACAGAGCTTGTAGATGCCTGCACGTTCCGTGGAAATTTTAACTGAGATGGGGACTGCACTGATGGTCTGAGCCTGTGAACGCTGCATCCTCATTTGTCTCTGCAAGGCTTAACACCATTTGTCTCCATTATTCTATGCTGATGAGAAAAGAAAAAGAAATGAAATTTATCGCATCTTCGTAGAAAATGACTTTATTTTCTCATAATAATATTGGAAGAAAAAGGATTTCTTTTTCCTGGCATTATGCTTCTGAATAATACTCTATTAAATTGTATTTACAGATAATACCCTATATTACATTTTTCTTTTAAAAGCAACTCCACCACTCTACCTTGATTTCCTTTCCTTTACTTTATTTTGTAAGAAGCCCTGGTGATGCATAACACGTTGGACTGACAACCAAAGTGTTGACAGTTCGAATCTACCAGTCACTCTTCAGAAGAAAGATGCCAGCTTCCTCCCACAAATATTTACACCTGAGAAGCTTGATGGAGATTTACTCTGAGTTGGAAGTGACTTGATGGTTACGTTTTTGTTTGGCCCAAGAGTCCAGTCACTTAAGCATATTTTAATCAATAAAAACCCCTTAAAGAGAGTTTAATGGTGACAGCAAGTGTGCCAACCACCCACCCGCATCTGTGTGGAGTCTCGAGATCTTACATAATGAAAAGAAAGTATGATGGATAGCTTTGTGCACTTAAAAAGCACAAATTGTGTTTGTGTGTCTGCATGTCTAGAGAGAGAGAGAGAGAGAGAGAGATTTATTTCAAGGAAATGGCCCACCTGCTTGGAGAAGGTTCGAGGGTACGTCATCAGACTAGAAGCGTCTTCTGGTTCAGGGAGGGATGCATGAGCCTAAGATAAGCAGGTCAGACCATAGGCTGCCATTTTCTGAGGCTGTTGGACCTCATGGTCTGTAGGCAAAGTGACAGAACAGTGGCTCTCAAGTTCCAAGAACAGGAGGTCAGACAGGGATGGATCAGAGAGATGAAGGATGCAGATTGGGCAAAAAGCTAGATGTCTTTGCCAGATGTCCATGTAAATGTGATGGTGACCATGTCCCTGAAGAAACTGCAGACAACTGTTGTGTTTTATTGGCTTTCTACAATCCAAGAGAGGCAATCAGCTCTGAACAGAGCTCTGCCAGTGAACTTGTCAACAGCCATGCCGATGAGCTCACTTGACCACCTTACCCATAAAATGAAGACAGCTTCTACTCAAAACAAAAACACAAACAAGAACACAGAAGATGCTGCATTTCTTTCCCCGAGGCACCTAATTGAGTCTCTTTTCTTGATATCCTAGAGTCTTACCCATTCCATGCACTGCTTACTATACAGTCATAAGTTCCAGGGCCCCTGTGCAAATTTTGGAAGCTTTGCTCCACTCTCTTCCTTGCTTTCCAGTATTGTGGTTTAAAATCCTGCTTCTCTCACACTCTCCTAACTCTGATCTTTGTGAATTATCTGTCCTCTATGGTGCTCTGAAATGTGTCTCAAGGAAGAATGTGAGGTGTATGCTTGCTTCATTTTATCTTCTCTACTAGAAGACACAGTCTAATGCTGTGTGTTGTCCAATAACGAAAAACATCTATTTAAAATGTTTCCATATCGAGAGGGGTTGGTTCTATCCTATATTGAATTGATATGAGGCAGAGGCAACCCAATACCACCTTACAGCAACAACAATTTTCTGCTTAGTAATGATGAGTTGACTAATTCAGTACCAGTAACACTTTCAAGGATGTGAGTTGAAGTCTTTCCAATAGTGGCTTTTGGGTTACATTACAAATCAAGAAGCTCTCCTCTAGAGCCAGCAACCTTAACCTTCAAGGGTATTGTCCCCCCCCCCCCCCCCCGTACACTGTTTATTCCAGTTCTCCAATCTGGGAGTCTATGTGTAAAAGAATAGAAACCTGGACTCTGAGTCAGAAAAGTTGGACATCTGCGGTCTTGAGGAGCGATGGTAGGAGGTGCTATCACTGTCCTCACTTTTATAAATGAAGGGAAATGACTGGCCAAAGCCAGTCCCTCAGAGATTTCCCCAAACTCAACTCTCAACTCCTGTCTCTAGCTTCGTGTCTACTCCACGGTGACCCTCCCAGATCGCTGGTCAGTTAATGCTGAAGAACTCAGCTAAAGGTTTGGGGTGGCAGATGGTGAGCTGGTGCCAATACGACGCTCTCTGCAGCCCAGGAAAGAGGAGAGAGAGAAGAGAAGAGAAGAGAAGAGAAGAGAAGAGAAGAGAAGAGAAGAGAAGAGAAGAGAAGAGAAGAGAAGAGAAGAGAAG